GAAGATGGCAATTGGATTAAATTTAGAAGAAATTACGTACTATTACCTGCTGCGCGAAAGCTTTTCTCTTAATAAATAAATCTTCAGCCCACAAGTGATACTTACACTGATTAAGCCATAGTGTTATCAGTTACAAAACGCCGAACGTTTATTATGGTGGAAGGTGCTTTAAAACGTTGATAATCGTTAATGGTCAACTTTTAAATAAGTCGTTGAACTAAGGAAAAAGCTTTGCGTGGGTTTTATTAATATGTATGTAAATACTATTTGTTTTATCTTCGATTTCAATATACTTAACCACTTTATTGGTACATACGAGTTCTGGATTTTATGATGAAAGATTTATATCTAAAAAAATGATGGGTTATCGTAAAATAGGTTATAAAATGTTTTTTTAAATTTTAATAAAAAGAAATATATTATTTAAAGTGTATCGAGAAAATATTGAAATTGGTGTTTTTTTGCATTTTTAGTTTACTTTGGTCGCATTAATTTTGAAATGTTTATATACTGGGTGTAAAGAAAATGACGGATAAACTCTTCAGTATACATATACGTTGTAGGCAACACTTAGTAGAGTACGGATGAAATAATAAAAAAAATATATTTGAAAAGATATTAAACAGTAAATTTGGCAACGTTAAACACTATAATTGCTGGTATATTGCTGTATATTATTATACGAGAGATAATGCGCATAATTTCGAGTGTAATACCATACTTGTTTATCATTATTCACGAAAATTTTATGCAATAAGAGGATATAATAGTGTATTATGTATCCTTTAATAAACGCCATTTTAGTCACGAATTTAATTTAGGCACGAGCGAGCTTGCGATCGAGGGCTGAATTAAATGTGTGCCTAGAAAAGTTTATATTGTTAAAAATTTCATGTTTAGGAAGTTTTTACGCACCATGGTGCACAATATAGTAATAATTAAACTCAGTTTTGTAAATTCATTACACGATTCAATACAACTAAATTTATGAAAATTACAAAACGTTTGTTGAAATTTGTTCGGTAACATTACAATACAGGTATTGTAATTTTGCTAAAAAAAATACTAAATTGGTTTAGTAATTTTAAAATGGTGTTTATTAATTATACTATACAATTCATTTCAACTCAGTTTAAGAAAATTACAAAATATAAATATTTTACAATGTTACTGATCTGAAGAAAATTCGTTTCGCAATATTACAATACAAATATTGTTATTTTGTACAACAAATTACACTAAAAATATTTAGTAATTTACGAATGATGGTATTGTAGTGATGCAACGGTTTCGGGTTTTACGGTTACGGTTACGGTTACGGTTAGCTATACGGTTACGAATAAATTCACGGTTATTCAAAAAAAAATTACAGAATTACGAAAAATAAAGTTTTGAAATTAATACACACGTTCAGTAAAGGTTAAATAATAATTTATGTAAAACAAAATCAGAATTTCTAATAAAACTGTAAAACAATAGGAAATGAATTAAATTTTAAACCTAAAAACAGTAAAGTAAAACCTAAGTAGGTACCTGAATAATATATTTAAAAATATAAAAAAATTAAATGTTAATTTAAAATAATTCAAAATTCAAAATTTACGAGTCAAATTTTTATTTAAAAAACATAACATCTGCAAATTCTGCGGAATCAGCCTGTTCCTATTTGGTGTTTGCACAAGACCTGCAGTCGAAAACAACCTCTCCGAATTCACTGACAATGGTTTGTATAATACCTTAGTGCCAACACTCTTAAACGCCGAAACGTGTAACACGTTTTCCAGAATGTAAACGGATTTGACTTAGGTGGTATATTTGGTAACGTTAATTACTCCTCAATCTTTTTTTTACATGCATTCACAAAGTAGCATGAAAAACCGTAAATACGGTTACGGTTAACGACATACGGTTACGGTTAACCGTATAATATCGAAAACCGTGAATTAACCGTAACCGTAACCGTTGCAACACTATGGTATTGTAATAATTATAATTATAATTATTGTTATAATTATTATACTACGAAAAAAAAACAGCAATTTTTTAGTTTCTTCAAGAAACTTTCTTGATGCATTACTGTAAAGATTTAAAAAAATTGAACCTTCACCTCGCCAGAGTGCGTTCCACCAACTTCAAACACCGACAGACAGCTAGACAGATATACCTATTTCGGGCAATTTGTTGTATTGGAGCACACTAAACACAAAAGACACCTGAGCTTATATACTTTCCACATAAGTCAACCGAGGCGAGATGTAAGAACATCACGTGATTGCCGCAATACTATGCATTTTACATAACATTATAGCAAATCAAATTACAAACAAAGTTTGTAAGTCTAAGATGCTTTTTATGTTAGTATAAACTGTCAGACTGTTTAGAAAAAATACAATGTGTGTAGGATTTATACATATAGATTGTAAAATTACAACATGTCTTGGAAGATTACTCAAATTGTATTATAATTTTGTATTGGTGTTTTTTAACAGTGTATGTTATGAACAAATTTTTATTACTATATACCGGGTGTATCTGCGAATGGGCGCACCCCCGTAACTTTTTTATTTATAAAGATAGACACATGAAATTTAGCATGGTTAATTAGGATATAAAATTCCACTTATAAGAGTACAAAATGAATTTTTTGAACCGGTTTCGCCGGAAATGATACCAACTTTCGATTTTTAAATGGAATTTTTAAATTTGGAATCCTGAAGAAATTCTGAGTCAGACAGCATCCTCAAATTTTTGACGTTTCGTCATCAGAAAATGCATCATCATAAAGATCAATCTAGAGTGCTTTGAAATCTTATTTTCTTCTAATGGATTCACACAATGCCTAAAAAATGAAACTTGCCTTAAAAAGTTGTTATTCAGCTATTCCCAGCAGTCTAAACTTGTCAAAATTCGTTTTTCTCAAATAGTTCAAAGCACTCTAGATTGATCTTTATGATAATGCATTTTCTGATGACGAAACGTCGAAAGGTCAATTTGAGCATGCTGTCCGACTCAGAATTTTCTCAGGATTCTAAATTTGTAAAAGTATATAGGGCGTTCCATTTAAAAATCGAAATTCCGGCGAAACCGGAAGTTCAAAAAATTCATTTTGTACTCTTATAAGTGGCATTTTGTATCCTAATGAACCATGCTAAATTTCATGTGTCTATCGTTATAAATAAAAAAGTTACAGGGGTGTGCCTATTCTCAGATGCACCCGGTATATACAAAATATGCAAAGTATTAAAAATTCTTACACGTGAAATGTTAAAGGTACAAAAAGTGACAGTTGTTGGAATTCCTGTTAGAATTTCTAACTTGGAAATCTGCCGGCGTTAAAATCTCAAATTTTTTTGTGTAAAACAAAACTTATTCCTTAAAAATAGACTAACAATCGATATAGAAGTAGTTTTTCACAGTAAAAGAGAAGAGAATGTTTTATTATATAACCTTTTCAAATATTGGCATCAAGAAACTATTTAATACTTTTGTATTTTTGTATTGAGATTATAAAATAATTTTCACATTTAGTAATATTTTACAGGAAAGGCACTATTTTAACGATTGTATGACATTTGACAGCTGTCAAATGTATTAAAAAGGTCTTAGTGTCATGGAAAAATATACTATAAAAATAAATATTTTTAATTATTATTTTATTCCGCTTTTACGTTAAATGAAGCTGACAAGTGTCGTACGCGCTAATCTTTGAAAAAACGTCCAGTTGAATTGTCGAGACTGTCTCGTGTGTAAGTCGATCTGTTTTTTATTTTCCTCCACGTCGTCTATTTACGGCTAAACGCCGTAATAATTTCGACGAGATGCTTTCAAGCAGATTAGTTTTAGGTGGCGTGGAGAAATTGGCGCATCCACCATGATGGATCGTCTCGGAACTTCCCGCAGATGACTTATGGTATTCTAACTTCATTTGTTACCATCACTATGTTATTAATGCCGCAAAGTTCAACTGTCTAATTGATCCTTTGCCCGTTTTGTTTCGGTCGTTTACTTTTCTATTTCTGAACCGGCTACATGGCAATTAAAACGTGAATATTCATTTCTGTTTATTACAGGACGCTTTGTTTCAAGTCACCTGATTTAATGAATTTACATAACAGCAAGGAAGGTGCTTGATACAAATTACTTTAATTACTAACATGCGGTCGGGAAAATTCTGCAACTAACTACCTAAAATTTTAATCAACTTTTCCAACACTCACCCATAGTATTTCGAAATAAAACCACCAAAAAGTAAGTTTAGTTTACCCAAAATTACTACACTGTTATAAAAATCAGATTTGTTACCATGAGTTTGTAATTATTTTAACAAAGGAAAATATTTTAACGAAAGTTTTGTAGGATATAATGACCATGTTTATTTTAAAAGGTAAAGAGTGGATTATCCTATCTATTTTTCTCTATCAGTCTTAGAAAAAAAGGGATTATTCCCAAAAAATTACAAATCAATCCTTAAATAAAAAGTATCTATACTTGCGGAATGGTGAGATGAACATATATGTAAGTATATATACTTGGACTGAGATGAATAATCTTTAATATAGAATAGCTTTTTCCGTGTAGGTGTGTGTCAATTTTTTTGTTTTTAAGTAATTAATTAATAAAGCAACATGTCTTATCAATTTTTGTTTTATTTAAGTTCCCAATTTCCAATAAATGCTTTTGTTACTGGGTCAACAAAATGTTTGTTATAATTACAAACTATTACAAAGTATAGTATACTTATTAAATTAGTTAACAGATTACAGTTGGTTGTAAACTTAACATAAAGTTATGTGGACCTGGATTAACACAAAATCTGGTTAATATTTGGTTAAAATTAACAAATATTTTTTACTGTGTAATCAACCTTTTTCAATTTAAACCACCGGCGTCTACTTACAACTTAATCATGAGAATCCATATGCCTATAGGCATGAATACAAAGTTTTAAGTTGTTGCCAAAGTAAATATGAAAATATTGAAGGCGGGCAAAGTTTTCTTACCATTAGACGCCATGTTGTACAAACTTTGGTGTTGTCCTTTCTTCCTGTATATCCTTACCACGAAGAAGGATAAAATGCAAATGAGGAAAACGGCGACAGTCAGCCCGATGTAGAGAAGTATGTCGTTCTGGGTGCGCTGCATGTTTTCTGAAACAAAAATATTTGCGGAATTAGGAAATTTTATATAAAAAGTTTGACGATATTGAAAAGTTTGAGTTTGATTTTGATTTATGAATATCACTAAGCATACAAATCAGTTATTACGAGATTATTGCTACATCTAAAGGGTCACGGTGCAGTTCTGATGGGTCATTTTATTCCAAAATATCAATCATTTGTAACAAAGTTATATGCATTTTCTGGATTTTTAATTAAATCAAACGTTATCGATATTTAAATGAAATGTAAATTCGATAACATAGCGGAAGTCGATTTACTGTCATAAATAAAATCGTAGACTGCATTGTCAAATATCATTAAATTGATGTTTTAACAATTTTTTTAAATTATTTTTTGACGTTTCTGAGTAGGAGTAGGATTAACTACTTAATTCAAGCCTTGTAATTGTACTCTCTAAAAATGAAACAGTGGATTTTCACTGATTGACAGTGCATATTAACTATTTGCCGTAGTGATAAGTATACCACTAGCAATTAGTGAATACTCACTTTTTCATGTAGCGATTTCTTTGCACTAATTTATTTAGTGGAAATTACACTGTAAATTAGTGAAATAGGTTTAGTTAAAAAAAGTTAAAATTTCACTATTTTATGTCGAGAGTTCCGGAAAAGTAATAAAAAACACTAATTTGGAAAAGTTAAAAATTCACTAATTTACATTGAAAAACACTAATTTTACAGTGAATAATAACTCACTGACGGAAATTTATTATAATGAGATCCATTATGATACAAATTTTTAATAACGACAATAAACTTTGGTTTAGTCGGTTTCGATTTATTATTCCTTATATTATTGTAATGTAATACTGTTTTTTAATAAAATGAATTTTTTTGACAAACCAGGGAGCTGGATGTCACTGACCTATCTTATATACCTTTATTGTTTTTACCTAACAATGATATTATTCATCCAAGAAAAAAAACAGGTATGCGCACAGTGTATTAGGTAATATCATGCAAACTTTTAAACTTATTCAAAATCGGTTAGGTACTTTGTTATTATTGATTACTGACAGTTTGGTTGTTATTGTGGTTTCTCTGGGGCTGCTTAAACAGTTTAGTATTTCAAAGAGAGAAGTTGACACATTAGAACGCAGCGGCAGATGAAATCCGAAATGATCCGGATATGATAGCAAAAAGCGATACATCATAATTTTCTACAGCGATGTCAACTTTGTGTGGATAATAACGGCGGGATAGTTAAACATTTATTATGATTTTGTGGAACACTTTAAAAAATAGCTACATGAGCATCATTCGACGTAAAAAGTGAAAGGTGACATTTAAAATCGACGAAAAAACCACGGAAACCTCGAGGTACCTATTGTTTGAATTGTTTTACTCAAAGTACCTAAAAATAAATGAGTATGCAAAAAAAAAATATTCATCAACAAAGTAATCAATGATATCACAAATGTGAATTTTTATTTGGTGAAATAATACATAAAATAGTACCCGTTTTGGGTTTTTTTACCGTTGAGTGGAGTCTTTCTCAATCAACGCTTTTAATAATGCATAACGCGATGCTTCTTTAGCGTACAGTGAATAAATAACTTTTGGAGAGTGGACTTGGGCATGCAAATAGAGTGAAGGGACAAACGTAAACAATAACACGTACTAATAGCGAACTCTTGTCGCTCGGCGCGTTGTTAACATTATTATAATTGAGATTTATGCGGTCGCCTGCCAAAAGTTTCCGGTTATGTACTACAAATATGTGGCGAATTACAAGAGCAGACGAAACAAATTATAAATTAAGCAGCTGGATTCGTGTATGTTTAGTCGGTGTCTCCTACCGTGTGTTTTGGGCCTCGTTAGCTGAAAGAGACATTTGTAATTAAAGGGCGATGCATGTTGGTACATGCACTGTAATAATGTAATGCGAGTTTTGGACAAAAATTATCAAATTATCTCTGTACACAATGTTTACATCTGCCTATGGTGAATTTAGTGGGATAGTTTTTAAACCTTATTTCCAATGGATGATTGGTTCCTCGACACCAAAACAAGAGACATATCAAACTACTAATTCAGCACAAAAAATATACCATACACTTTTGTAGAAAATTACACGGAAAGAATTTTAAATTAAGTGGTGCAATATTGTTGTAAACAATTTGTGGTAATATTGCACCCAAACATGAAGAAAATTTATGTCACTGTTGCTTCACTTGCTATGGACTGAAATTGAATATAGTACATAATTTTGCTGCAAGAGAGTTGTCGCAAAATTTAACAAAATGTATACTCATAATGTATAAAACAAATTGTAGCAATATTGCATTTAGTCTGTGATAAAGAACGCAACAATACTAACGCGTGTAATACTACAAAAAATCCTTCTCTGATTGGTTTATTTAAGGTTATTAGTGTTTTTTATCTTGACATACCAACACAACGTCCCTCTGACCGGTGTTCTGTAAAAATATAATTGCAGTTGAGTACCTAAATATTTATCTAAGGTTAAGTGTAGGTAGCGGTCAGAACTATTTACCCTAGTTGTCAACAAGCCAAAATTGACGGGAAAATAATTTGTGTTGTGTGCGAAAAGAGCAATGGATCAGTTTGTGGCAGATTTATTGAAAGAATTGGCCATGAATAAATGCGTTTTTGCTTTAAAAATTTAAAAACAACACAACAAAATTTTTATATATTTAATTTTCATAAAAAGAATTTATAAAATATTTTTTTTTTTATTATTTTAATGTGCTTCCAACAGGCACCAGGCCCAATTACAGGAGTACACTGACACACACAAAATAGAAAAACTAGTGGTTCATTCCACTTAAAAAGTATGAAAAAAAAATAAAAAATTCCCTTAAAAAAAGTACAGATTTTTTTTTGGAAAACCCTATATAATTAACCTTTTAGGTAATCGAAGCAGCTGCAAGTGAATCTATGTATTTGAAACAAAACAATGAAGCATCGCGTTCATGAAATATTATATATTTTTTAGAACACCAGATATATTTGTATATTTTTGAATAAAGCAATATAAGGCCGTTCCAAAACACCCATATGTATAATATTTTTTATTCGTCACTGAAATAGGTATTTATTTAAAAGCTGTAAGGCATGTATACTGCATTTTTAGCATTAACTTTATTTTTAAGACTAATATGTTGATTTTTATACCAGTCAGTAATAATATTGGCTTTCTTAACCCCTCATCCAACCCCCCAAAAATATGTCCAAGATCTGCTACAAATTGTATAAATACATTTATTTGGTTGCAACTACATTTTATAAGTGATGTACAAATATAGCCTTATAATATGCTAAAATTTGCACGAGTAAATTTTGGTCGTTGCTGTGTCATTTTAGACGGCAGTGTTTAACACTTCTTTTATTTTTACGACAATTTGGAGAAATACTTTTTTAGTAAATGTTGTAAAAAGTTTTGTCATCTGTATTACAATTTGTTATTATCCGTATTTTCAACACAATTTGTAAAGAAGATTCATATATTTATATTGATTTTGACAACAACTTTCTTTGCATGTAATTTGATCCATCCAAGATGTGTATATTTTGCCTAATTTAAAGGTATACAGTATTAGCAATTCAGGAAAACCTTTCAGGCTTCCTGAATAGGTCTATACAGTGATTTAAAAGGATTTCCGAACGCTACTGTTTAGATTGTAAACCCCGATACCCCTTATTCAAGAAAAAACTATTTATTAAGATTGGTGTGTTTGCAGCGGGAACAGAGGGCTAAAGTCTCGTTCAGTTACTTCATTCGGCCCCCTAAAAAGTTTGTAGTCGCATTTGCAGGGCTCTATTTTCCCTGTAATGGAAATCCGATACGCTTTCAATTGCCGACTGAAATTATTCCTCTACATTACACACGATTCACTCGATAATGGATTCATTACCAGTATTCGTTTCATTTAGCAATTCGAAGTATAATCGTGAACAAGATTTTGGATTTTGACTTTTTAGGTCAAGTCGATCTAAAATCGTCCTTGCTGTCTTCCTTTGTCAAGCTGAAGATGTATTTTTATTGATATTTATCAATATGGGCATCACAATATAAATTTTTACAAATAATATTTAATTTAATAATAGTATAAAATTAAATTAGAAAAATTTTAAAAAAGAAAAGAGTTAAACCTAAATAAAGGTTTGAAGTGTTTTATTTGCAAAACTGCTTTGGCAAAAAATATATACCGAGTATAGTGCACAAAATGTGATAAAAGGGCACATCAAACGTGCACATACCTAAAGAAAAACTAGAAAACAAGAACAAGAATGGAAATGTTCTGAATGTAAAGAATCAGAGCAGGAGCAAAACCAAACCAAGAAAAACTTTACTATAAATGATGTAATGAATAAACTTCTAAAGATGGAAGAAAAGTACGAAAAAAATTTAAAGCGTTTAGAAGAAATTAACAAAGAAAACTCATAATTACGAAATAAAAGAAATACTAAAAAAAGATCAAGAAAAATTAAAAAACAGCATAATAGAAATTAATGGATCCAAGCAAGAAAACTAGCCAAAAACATAATAATAATGGGACTGGCAAAAGAAAATGATGGTAAATACAAGCAAATACTTAATATTGGAGAGCAATGCAATAGCAAAATAGAAGATAAAGACGTAGAACAAGTACAAAGAATAGGAAAATATAGTAATAAACCATTAATAAAGGTTATTTTTTCCTAAATAGAAGCTAAGGAATAGTATATTCTGTAACAAATTTGGAATACAGCATATTCCTCTCGAGTAAAGAGTTTATCACACGAGCCAAAGGCGAGTTTGACGGGTTCACGAGAGCGGAATATGCAACTCCAAAAGTGTTTCAGACTATACTTTTTGTACGTTTCCAAAAAATACCATAGAAAAATAATTTAAATGGAAGAAAGTGAGGTTGGATCGGTCTAAAATTTGTTAGATATTAAAAACAGAGATGTCGCCACGAGTGTTTATTCTGTCATGCGATGTTAGAATATTTCATTCTGTAA